CCCTGCCCACTGCTGGTCTCAGTGGAAGACCACCTCTGCCTGGTAGAGGAGGAAAGTAAGTTTTAAAGTAACTTTTTATGAAGTTTTTTTTTAATGCTGGCATGAGCTCCAGTTTATGCATGTATATGACTGTATGGTCTGAATATGTTGCATCTTTTATCAACTGACATACTAATTTTAGTTTTATCATTTGAATTGTCTTGAATGAAATCTGTGTGACAAAGCTGGGCAGTGCTTAGATATGGCAACTACAGTTGCTTGTCTTTGCATTGCAAGAAAGTTAACGAGAAAAGAAAGAAAAACAAAGAAGTATATTTTTGTAGTATTATATATGTCAGATGTATTGAATATAGAATGTAATTAGAAAGGTGCAGTTGTTGCATCTTGCCAGTTGCATTAGTCAGCCTTTAGTTAGGAGGTAGCATTTTTACACAGCCTAGTTTTGGAATGTTAAACCATGTACGTTATGCATTCAAGTGGCAGAAAAAATAGGTTAATAGATAATAGAACTTTTCTTTTGCAAATACATATCTGCAGATATTTCTGGCTTGTATTTCATTGCTTGGTTTTATGCTTCCTTTTTCTTACAAGATAATGTATCTTATTGTCATTTATTTATTTAAATTTATTTATTTATTTTGCTTCTGTTTTGCTTCTTTGTTTCTGCCTTTTTTCGCTGCTTTGGTAGATCTCTGCTTCAAGCCTCATCGCGTGATGTCGGGAAGATTCAAACCCCTAGTCTCCAGACTTCTGCGGCCACTAATGATACCGTTATTGTGCATCAGGACCAGTAAGCCTCTAGCTTGTTTACCATTTCAGAATTGTGTTGTAACTGATTAGTATAACTGCTTGGCTGATAACTGTTTTAACCAGGATCTTAGTTTTTTCAATACTTTTTTTCCCATAGTTATGTGAATGTGTTGTTTAGATACAAACTAATTGTAGTCATTGTGTGCAGACATATAATTGCATGTTTGAGTGGTAAAAAAGGGGTATTGGTGTTTGACTACACTCACTGATTGAAGCAAAAAGAAATTGATAGATAGATGGTTTGCTCGTTTCGTCAGTATTTTGTGAACAGTCTGGATCACCCTGGGTTTGGGGAGGTCACTGGGAACTGACCCCTGTCCTCATCATGACTCCAGTATACAGCAGTCAGTACATGATGATGACAGAGGCTAAGTTCTGGTTATCTCTGATACACAGGGTGGTCTACATGTAGCATGAACTTGTAGTTCGAATCCTAGTTAGTATCTGTGTAGTAATACCCAAGTAACAAGATTCATGTTTGGCCCTTTTTACACCGAGACATATTTAACTGATTAAGTCTGCACCAGTTCACTTTAAGAGGTTCTACCATATAACAATAAACCCTCCGATAAATCACCTCCTGTAGTACTGTTACGTTAATTCATTTCCACTGTTGATTACAGAGGATCCATTTTTGGTGACTGTCCTTCATAATAACCGGGTTATTTTCAATCTCTCAAAGTGAACCAGGAGAGACTATCGGTTAAGTAATATACTGCTCGTTATGGAAAGGGCCCTATTTAGAGACTTTTGACCATAATCTATGTAACATGTTAGTGTTTTATATTTTGTCTTTTTTGTTTTTGAAGAGTGCATTAATTATCATTTTCACCTTTGTGTTGCTGTAGCTGGTCTTACGTGTACCCACCATCCCCTACAAGGTGTGTATTGACTAATAACTTGCACTGGCACATTTATTTATATTTGGCCAAACGGCTAAATACATACAATGTATACTTTGGTTAAAGAAAATGAACAATTTAATTTCAGTTTTCTTATTGAACATCTGTATTTGCCAATCATTGGTTTATTTGGAAATATGCCATTGGCTGAAACAATGAATGTGCTAGTGTGCCATCAGAAATATGATATGATATGTTGTAAGGCAATGTTATGTTATAATACTATTTAAGTGGATTATTTGACTAACACACTGACAGCGATGAGATTTTTCCAACTATCAAAAGAATGGACCTAGGTGGCCCCCTGGATCCTATACCATATTTTCTTACTTTTTCACTAAACATCAGTCTCCTCCCTGTACTGAGAACAGTGGCTGATTCAAATTAAGAAGAATACTGTAGTGTCTTGAACTTTAAATATAGTATTGATTGGCATATTTAGATGATAACATCAGTTTTAGTAAATCAATCACTTTGAATGAGTTGTTTTTATCACTAAAACTACTTTCTAGTTTGTGAACTTATTTTTATTTCATGGATAGAATTGCTGGTTGATTAACAAACTGATTAATTATTTGTGTATTGAGTTATATTTAGTCTGCTATTTTCAATAATTTGTACAGTTTGCATAACTGAACAGTCCCAACTTGGAAAAAGAAAGAAAGAAAAAGTCTTCACTTTATAATCTACATCATATAAAATTTTACCAGTAGAAACATACTAAATATTCTTCTACTTGCTGTAATATCATAATCTGGTCTGGTCTGGTCTATCCTATCCTATCCTATTCTGTTCCACATTCGTGTTACATTATAATTGCATATTTTACTTATTATGACCTGTCATGTTATAACATATCATGTTAATCTAATATCCAGGTCTCAGTCGCGTGGTGCAGGTCCCATGTCTCTCCAGGTACCCCAGGGACAGCCATATGGGTCCCCACAGGGTATGCCTTTCAACCAGAGCCAGCCATATCCCCCCATGCAACCTCCCTACATGATGGCCACCCCATATACACAAGGATATGGAATGCCTTTTGCACAGGGACCAGGCTTTGTACCTCCATATTCTCTGCCAAACACGTACTCTGTGGAGATCTCCCACTTGAGAGACGTAAGTTTTTTTGGTTAGTGTGTGTGTGTGTGTGCATGTGTGTATGTGTGAGCATGTATGTTGCTTAATTCATATATGTCTGTAGCCTATCCAAATCTTGTGATGGATGATATAACATTCCTTCATAAAATTTACATTCATTTACTTGTTTATTATTGTCTGTACTGTCTATTTTGTAATCTTTTATTTATTTTTTTTAAATTAATTATTATTATTTTAGCCTGGGTCTGCCAGAGATGGCACAGACCTTCAGGAGCTGCCCTTCACTCCAGTTCATGCCCCAATACTGGCTACAACACCCAATACTAGAAGGTATGTTACTATATAGTTATTTCTGAAAGTGGGGACATTGCTCTGTTTGTTAAAAATATTGAAATAACAGGGCCTATGGGCATTGGCTTAGGGGTACTATACTTAAATCGATGTTTTAGGCAGACTGTTTGGAATATAGAGTTTTTTTGGGACAAACATGCATTGATGTAGCTCCCAGTTGTAAGATGAATAAGTATAAATTTACAAAAAATATTTTTTATACTGAGCCTGCTGATAGCTATTCTCTATGTATTATTCCAGTGGCCAGGGTCTGTCCAGGGCAGCCTATGCCAGGCTCTACACGGCGGGATTTCCACCAATCCTGGACAGGTTTGGTGAAGCACCAGAGGTCGTTGACCCTGCAGACCACGTGACCTTTGACCCTGCCAAGGAAGAGACGGACCCCCTGGTGTGCAATGAGATCTACCTGCAGTTCCTGGCGTTTGCTAAGTGAGTTACTGATAGGAGAAAAGATTAAAAAGTATTGTTTTGGTGTGCTGACGATTACACCAGAATATTCCTGATCCTTCAATGTCAATTGTGACAGAAATCGGTTTCTTATAAAGTATATTTTATGTATATAAGCTGCATAAAATAATAACATTGTTATCAAAAGATGTAAAAGGTTCCTATCAGACCCAAATCCTTTGAGAGGTTTCCATATCCTGTTTCTTACAGATACTATGAGCAGGAGCAGAATACCAAGTCCAACGGCACGGTCTTCTTCACATTCCAGTTTTACCGCTTTCCTCAGGTCACTTCAGAAAGGTGAGACGGAGTATAGCCAGTGTAAACACAGGTGTATTGGCTTAATATTTTCTTCTACATTTTAGAATTAGGCTGGTTTAAGTTCCTCAGTGATGCCATTTACTTATTGCAGTGATTAGTGTCAGCAGAAGTCAATTCTCTCTCTCTCTCTCTCTCTCTCTCTCTCTCTCATATTTTATGCCATATTTTCACACCAGGTTACTCCTTGGAGCCCAAGAAGGTGACCTATCTCAACAGAAAGATAGGGCCCCTTACATCCTCCAAAAACTAGAGGCAGACGGCACAGTGAAGAAGGGACCCCCTGGTTACCAGGTCAAGTATTTTGTGGACCCCTCGTTTCTGAAGCCAGGAGAAGCCAAGCTGTTCCTGAAGCACCTGTCGCAGCAGGTTCTCCACGTTGATGTCTGGGATGGAGAGTCTCTACTGCTGATTGGGTCTTGTGCTGTAGATCTCAGTGTGAGTGGTAAAAATGAACGTCTGGATTCATCCAGATAGCTGGAGGTTTGAGTGTTGTATTTTTGTCTACCCCTCTCAGACCACTTATAATGAACTGCATGCCTTCAGTGCTTGCATTTTTAGGATTATTTTAAATGTCTTCTTTCAAGTCTGAAGGATGGTATTTTCTTTTTAATTCCCCTGAGTAGACTTTCAAAGCAGACTGGAAACTAACCTGTTTCAAGTAAACTATAAAACTGTGTATGGTTTCTTAATATTATTATAAAAGAAGGATTTGTTCAGTATTTCTTGAAGCCTATGCCATGTTAGTTTACTTAAAACATTTTTTGTAACCACATTACAAGATGTAGTTATGGTTCAAAATTAAACATATCATAGCACTCAGCCAGAAAGTGTAAAATCAGTAGTTTTTGTTCATGGAAAATGTGAAATTTTAAAGCCAATACTTACTTTAATTGTTGTTATTTTGACAGCACCTGTGTCGTCAGGGTCGTGACGCCCTCCAGGTGACCTATGAGCTGGACGTGATGATCACAGAGTACTCAGAGGACCAGGGGGACACTGGGGGGGAGGGGGCCCAGGGGACAAGTGTGAGGCCAGTAGGGGTAAATACCTCTCTGAAAGGGAGGCTACATCTGAGGCTTGCCAATGTAGGCCATCCTGCTGACAAGAAGACAAAACTGGCAGAGACAGGTAATAATAATAATAATAATAATAATAATAATAATAATAATCAAGATGAATGTTGTATATATATATATATATTGATAATTTGGCATTTTGTATCTTCACACACAGTAAAATTAAATTAAATATAATATGTGAACCCAGTAACTACATGTCTTGGCTTTCTTCATCCCAAATGTGAGGTTGAATTATATTACAGGTACTGAGCTTACTGGTGGCCTGATTTTAATGTGCAGCAAAATGTTCATCAAATGGTTGGTTAACTGCCTGCCTGACTACTGTAATTGATATTTACCTTAATTACCAAATCATATTGATAAGCTTTTCTTTGTAAATTATATTATATGTATGAGATATGGTGCAAATCTTTCTTTTCAGAGCCTGCTTTGCCCCTGAAGAAGTCACGGTTAGTGGTGGCGTCAGAGGGCGCTAACAGCAGCGGGTTCCTGGGAGGAAGTCTGAATGCTGGACTGGCACAGTCACATAACTCAGGTATAGAGTGTGTGTGTGTGTGTGTGTGTGTGTGTTAATTTGAGTTTGCATGGTTGAATTTTAAAATGTATGCAAACCTATCTGTAAAAATTTCCATGTGTGCATATTAAAAAGTATATATCTATAAACAGGTCTTTTTAAATTTTTTTACATGCCAGGTAATAAATATATATATATATGTATTTATTTTAAGGTCTAAGAAAGTCAAAAGTCGCGAGAGCACAGCACGTGACTGAGACACATCGCGAGTTGGCGTCTGTGTTAGTCACGCGTCGTGACCCCATGACCTCTGGGGTAGACGACACGGAGAATATGGATCCTGTCAAGAGGCGGAAGTTAGCCAGGATGATGGCCATTAGGCAGTTACAGCAACAGCAACAGCAGCCGTCATCTGAGAGGAGTTTGCCATTGTCGGTATGTGGTGCTGAGAGCCAATAGATTCTCTAGCAGTATCAATAAATCATTCATAACAACTGTGCTATGCTTAAGTCCTAATGTCAGGTGAAACATTTTCAGAAAATATTAGATTGGGTATATATTTTGTTTTTTCTCCTCCTTCAGTCTTACAAACAGTTAAAACAGGAGAGAACCAGAGACCTGAAGACCATAGACCTGTACCGCCAGCAGACCAAACAGGAGGGAATTCTCACCATGTTGAACAGTGCCATCACAGCCCAGCACAACATCTACCCCTCTCTGGGGACCTCTGAGTTCTTTGAGTTTGTTCTGAGAAACCCATACAATGTCCAGCACACTATTACCATAGAGTGGACGGACCCTGAGTTGTAGTGAGTGACATGGTTGATTGTTTGCCAATTTCTGTTTAAAAATTAATGAAACTGTTAAACATTCTATAATTGTAGTATAATATTTGATTGAAATGAAAGTTGAAAATGCTCAGTAGATTGTACATGGAAAGAAATTTGTAGCCTGGTCAAAGTGTGGATCTATCTTTTATAAAATTGGTAAAACATCTAGTTATCTGTGATGATAAAATATTGAAAGTATATAATTGTCTGAAATAAAAGTTAATAATCCATTTTAAATATTATGTTTCAGTAGACATTACAGACTTTATAATATAATACTACCTTGAGATATTTGCCTTCACTTTAAGAACCCCATGCAGCTTTATTTGAGTATCATGACAGCTGCTTGCATTATTCTAGTAATATTTTTCAACTATTTACTGAATGTTGACATTTGATGATGAACTACATTAATATATAATTGTTTTCTTTCTCAGTGTGGTGACAGATGCCAGGGAGTGGCGGTACTTTAAGCAGCTGAATGAGGTGCACACCCCACTGGAAGAGGCCATGTTTAACCTCCAGAGCTCCTCCCAATACCCCCAAGTGTTTCTGAGACCCAAGGAGACCCTGAATATCCCCTTCAAGTACCTCTCCTATAGGGCAGACCACTCTGTGCAACCACAGGTAATTGTGGCAGTTGACTCCTGGTCTTTCAGTGCAACAGGCTTTAGGCACGTTTATATGTTACTTGTGTGTTTAAAAACATCCATGTTATTTAGAGGGAATTTTTGCTTGTGCATTTTTTTTTTTTTTTTTTTTGGTCTGAAATTTCATACCTGAATAACCAATTAATTTTAAAAGTACAAGTGTATTGTGGCATCTGAAATGTTTTAACTGTTAAAGATATTCAACCATGTTCCAGGGCCCCATTAATCCATTCCATGCCCAGTTCCAGCAGTCCAGCAGACAAGAGGATGCTCTGGCCACCAAGGTGGTCAAGGTAGGAAGAACAAGAAATTTAAGTCTGTGAAGAACATGGGGAAACCTCTCTCTCTCTCTCTCTCTCTCTCTCTCTCTCTCTCTCTCTTCTTATTCTGGATTTTCGTCTCATGTGCACTTTAGGATGAAAGCATCTTTCTCTCATGTCACCAGCCTAAACAAAATGTCACCAACATATCTGATAAAGTTTTTTTCTGTAGTCTTGAGTCAACATAAACACAGCGAAAACAATCATGTATGCTAGGTGATGAAACTTCATCAGATATTAAAGCATTCATGTCATGATATTGATATATGTTATGTTTGATGTCCTCCTGAGCTCTGTCTTTCCATCCCTCAGGTGTACTTCAAAACTGAGGACAACCGCCCCATCTCCATCCTGGCCCTCAATGTGGACCCCATCCCACACGTTGTGGACCAGACCTTCAGGTTTCACCACCCAGAGCAGTCCTTCCTGAAGAAATCCATCAGACTACCTCCCTTCCAGATGTTACCAGGTAGGTGTAGAAAACTTATGTTACCTATGGAGATGATGATGATGATCTTTTTTTACATCAGTAAGAAATATAACAAATAAGAAATGTTATTTGGAAAGAAATGCTGGCTGAGACAATTGTGAATTATGTGAAGAATTTAAAGCTGTAATAAATAAAGAAAAAAAGATAATTGCATTAAAAGGCATAAATGTGATATATGACTTCACAGGTGCTCCAATAGGTGGTGCTGGGTTACAGCAGCTGTTTGTACGCTGTAGTGATAACAATGTGATATGTGAGACAAGACCTGTCCAGACTGGAGAACCACAGGATGTCTTCATCAAGGTACTAGTCAGGATGATTTATACTTGGGTTTACATTAACATTCATGTTATTATTTGCTTTTTGTAAAACTTGAAGAAAATCATTTTTAAATGCTTTTGTTTTAAATTTTAGTTTAAATTTTACTTTGTGGCAAAATATATTTTTAAAAAGTTAAATTTGATCCAAAAGTAAAAATAAACAGATAAGTCAGCCTTAAAAGGAACAGTGGGTGTCAAGTGTAAATAAACTTCAAGTATTGTCATGGAAACCTTTTATTACAGGTGGCTTGTGGTGCGTCTCCCCAAGTAAAGAAGTTTTTCCTGGCCATCTACAGTGATCCTTTCCTGTCTAAACCTCTGCAGATCTGGCAGTTCTTTGTCCACTCTCTGCAGAGGGTGGACGCTACATGTGTTGAAGGACAAACCAGTAGATTTTCTCTCATTCTCAGGTATTTACGTATTTTGTGTTTATATATTTTGCATGTTTTTTTTTAATCTATGAGATGAAAGTTGACCTATTTTTCAAAAGACACTTTCTTACATACTTGTGCGGTATATCCAAATAATAATAATAATAATTTTGAAAATAGTGCGATAGAACATAACCAGGCATGAAAAATGATTAATTAATTTAATATAATAATTTTGTAGCTCTTTTAAGTGATGATATGTGTGCAGGTTATAATGATACCTTTTATGTGGCAAATCCAGCTGGTGGTACATACCCAGGAGATGGTAATAGCTCTCTGATCCTCTAGTATATTATGTTTAAATGTGTTCTTCCAGGGGTACACAGGCGTCCCGTCTGGTGAAGTGTTTCTCCTCTCATCCATATGAGATGTCCCTGGAACCCAAAGACCCCTTCATGCTGGCTGCAAACGCCGTTCACGAACTCCACGTTGGAGTACGTGCCGTAAACGTTGGCTCTAAATTCATGTACATTAACGTCGTAGACATTGAATTCCATCAGTTAGTCAGGACTTGGCTGGTCAACTTATCATGCAGGTCACCGGTTGTATCAAAGGCTTTCGAGTTAAAACTGCCAGTAGGTGGCGGTAAAGGCTGCAACAAGAGAATCTCATACACAAATCCTTACCCACACAAGAAGGTGTTTCATCTGAGGACCAATCGTAGTGACCTGCTCCAGTTTAAGGACACTAGGTTGGAGATTGGAGGAGGAGAGCCGCATACAATCGGCCTCAGGTTCGCTCCAGCTCAGACCCCAGGAATGACGGAGATTCTGATTTTTATTAACGACGATGACGATAAAAATGAAGAGACTTTCTGTGTGAAAGCAGTTTACATGATGCAGTGAGGGGGATGCAGGGTCTGAATGTTTATTTATTTATTTGTTTGTTTATTTATTTATTTGTTCCTCTTTATTGCAAGAGAAGTTCTTGTGCCTTAGTAAAAGATCTCGAGTTGGATGTTGATCGTTACTTAGCATCCATTGATATTGTTTCTATGCATTCAGTGTATTCAGGTCACATGGACATTTTACAGAGAAGGATACACAGATACTGGAGTGTTCAAAAGAGTTGCCTCTTTATAGCTTTAAGATATAGGGATTGTACAGAATTGTACAGAATATTGTATGGAATATTGATTTTCTCTGCTCTGGTGAATAAGTTATCTTGGTTATGTATTATCTTCACAAGTGCAATATATTGTACATAGTGTATGTAAAGACAAATGCATTTCATTTTATTTTTTCAAGATCATGTGAATTTTGATACCAATTAATTGATTTAACTTTTTTGTTCAGTAATACCATTGATAGTAGTGATTACTTATGATAGAGTTGTTTTTAAGTTTTATTTATTATTGTATTTATTTTTATTTTATTTTTTTAGTATAAGTCATAGTGAGTCAGTGATACTAGTGATAGCATTGATTACTGTAATACTAGTGATATTACAGATATTTTTCTCCAAAGGCAAGTATGTGCAGTTACCAGTTATTAAAATAAAACAATATACGCAAGAAAAACAAAAATGCCATTGATGGTGCAAAACATTTGATCACTACAAAAATATTGATTCATTTTATTAAATGTTTACAAAAGAGGTTTTTACAAAGACTGAGCCACACTTAATTACTTTGACGTTTTACAAACACACAAAAGATTAAGGAATAAAAGCTGGTGGAATATATTCACAAATATTTTCCTGGTTGTTTTCTCTTACTTTCTGTAGAATTTAGTGTAATGTACAAGAGAATAAATCCACCGTGAGTTGCGTGTCACTTTTTGTACTATTTTATAAAACAACATGCCCATTGTTACAGGAATGGTAGTCCGCTAGGAACCATAGTACACTTCCCATTATTTTACACAGGTGACATTTGTCCCATATACTAACCCCAGTGCTCCAACTAGGGCTAACCTGTACTTATCATATGGGAGCCCGGATTTCCATTCCTAGTACTTCCATTCCTGTTACACCAGTCCACTGTTTCACCATTATCGCTAAATAGTAAACCCCGCCTACCACAGATTCTGGCAGTGTCGACAGTCTTATTCAGAGGCTATCTCAGTCAATGCCTTTGATTACTTCAGCTGGACTTTGCCTTTGATAAAACTGATTTTCTGTCGATAGAAAAAAGAAGATGGACTATGGAATTTTAAAAAAGGTGCGTATAGTCCTTTCCATCTAAGATAAAAGATTTAGCGACTACATGAAATCCAAGGAACGGCATTTACAAGTTGTAATACAACATGATAGTTCCTGTAATTGCTTGATTTCAAGCAAACTGCCTCTGACAATAACAATAATGGTATAATATAAGATACTGCTTATAACTTTCTGTCTGCAACCATTCTCCAGTATCAGGTGGCTTTTTCTTTTCTAAACAATTTCTATTTATTTTTTATTTTATTACTATTATTTATATAATTCATTATATTATTTTAAAATGTGTTATTTTAATGCATTTTTATTTCTATTTTTTATTTTATTTATTTATTTATTTTTTTTTTCAAAACGCCACGTCGCGTCCTTTCACTGGAACTGCGGTTTCAGGAAAATAATTGAACTTCCTGATTTGAGGAACATGGAAGGCTTACACCCCATTTCCATAGATTTTTAGATCGATCTATCCCTGTGGGGAGTCTCACTAGATTACTGTCAGCTTGACCGGCTTAAGCGTCTGTCCCGCCTACTAAAAGCTGTAAGGGGGTAATTAACTATGGTGCCCGCTCGGATGACTGCAATTTAGCGTGAATCCCCAGGGAGTTAGGTCGATCTAAATCTTAATCTTAAGATCGATCTAAATCTCTGGGAAAGCACCCTTAGATTACCTTCGTTTGATGGACCCTTGAGCACCTCTAGGTGAAGAGAATACTCAGCCATCCGTCTCTCCCCTTGAACTATTACCTGCCATTAATTATCTAAAAAAGTTTTACGAATGTCTATAGATTATTGCAATTAGGTTTATAAATATCTATGAATCAATATAATTACCTGAAACTATTGAACTGCGCGCGTGACTTGTGTTCAAACAGCGACAGGTAATTTTGTTGTCATCAGTTCACTTCACGAGACACATGCGTACTTCAAACTATGGCGTCTTAATATAAATATCTATGAATCAATATAATTACCTGTAAATATTGAACTGTGCACGTGACTGTGCAATCATCAGTGACAGGTTATTTTGTTGTCATCAATATACCCTAGCACTTCACTTAACGAGACAAACGCATGCTTCAAACTATGGTGTTTTTACTTAATATAAATATCTATGAATCAATATAATTACCTGTAAATATTGAACTGGGCACGTGACTCGTATGAAACATCAGCGACGGTTTTGTTGTCATCAATATACCCTAGCACTTCACGAGATATATGTATGCTCCAAACTACGGTGTTTTTACTTAATATATATTATCTATGAATCAATATAATTACCTGAAAATATTGAACTACGCGCGTGACTATTGTGTAAACAGTGACAGGTAATTTTGTTGTCATCAATATACCCTAGCACTTCACGTGACACACGCATGCTTCAGACTATGGTGTCTTAAATCGGTGAAAAACACTTAAATAATTTCTCCTTTTCTCCGATGCACGATCAAAGCCTTTTATTTATTTTCATAAAAATGGCACTGTCCTTTTCACCGTACAATTTGAATATCGGGACTGTGTTAAAGCTAGCTAAAGCAGAATTTTAGCATTGATGGAGAGTGAGAGAAAAAAAGAGGAAGGGGGAAGTGAGCCCTAAAGATGTTTGGGAAGATTAACTTAACTTGGTCACCTCGTTTCAGGGCAGCCTACGCTACACTTCTCCAACAGGGCTTATCTACTAAGTACATCAGCTATTTCTGTTTGAACATCAACCGTTTTCATCAATCATAATTCGTTTTCTATTCTTTCATCAATCATTTTATGTACAGAGCCTGATTTTGCAGATAAACAGTTAGTAAATCTTGGTCCGATAACATTTGACTCGTCACAAAAAGTACGCCATCTTAGTTTATCTAGTAGAGTGACTCAATAATAAGGTACACGTAATATCAGTTCTACGTGTTCTCATTCAAATTCACGGTAAAAGAAAACATTTTCGAGTCATCCAAAATTCCCTTTTCTCATCTAAGGTTATAAAAAGCTCAATTTTCCAAATGTCTATAAAATTCGCACTAATGAGGCACTAATGAGGCCAGTAAAACTGGGGTAAACTAGCTTCCGTTGGACCACATAAGAGAGCCTGGAACACCGAGGCACCCTGAGAGCGAGTTGGTAATTAAAATTATCAAGGTAGGCTAATTAATACATTTTTGTCTTTAAACGGACCATAGAATCTCGACAAGATTTGAGCATTGATTTGAGACAAGAGCATTGGGAAAAGAAATGATTTCAGTACATAAGTATTCTGTTGATATCGACCAGTGCATTGCTTTAAAATAAATATTTGCCTGAATTAACGAAGTTAGCATTCACATATCTAATTCAATATGTTAAAACATGGTGATGTATTATCCTCGACGTGCAATGTTTTTATAGTACATTTGCTCATATATTGTTATGCATTCAAAGAATATGTTTATTGGGGAAACGGTAAATAGGTCATTCTCAGCTAATTCCTTTGTTGACAAGATATTGACATCATAAGCAGCGATGTTATATAAGACGACATAGGCCTATATGAAAAAAATAAAACATTTTTGATGCTTAATGCGTAGACAGAAGATGGAGTGATAATCAATGATAATCTGACGAGACAACGGCTAGGTGTTTTCATTTATGCAGCGTGACGTTTTAATACGTCATCCAGGGACTTTATATGACTGACTCGCAGGTGAGAAAAGTTCGTATCTATATTTAGAACCTACATTGGATTTACGTTTTACCATCATTTCACAAGAGACTTGAAAACATATTTATTTTATCAAATACCCATTCTAGTCAAGAAATAAGTAAACACCGTCACGGACGAAACTATACTAGAATAGTAAGATAAGATAAACGGCAGAGATTTGTAAACATGGCTGAAGGCATTGTGATTTGGACGTAAAATTCCCCTTGCATATGATTCACAAAATTGTAAACCTTTATTTTCTTCTTTTTTACGTCTATAGTGTTTATGAAAATATCAAATACAGCACAACTGTTTGTATAGGCGCTTGTTGTAGTTGTGAGAGGTGGGAGGCGACACTGGTTGGCACCAGACAAAATAACAATTCGTCGAGTGTATTAATACCCCCCCCCCCCCCCTCCATGCGCAATTCACCTCACAGGAAATGTAAGAACTTTAACGCTAAATTTCAATTAAAATGCATAAAATAGAGACAGGAAAGTAATTTTGTATAATTGCCTGGTTTTGTCACTTTTCGCTCTATGTTGTCAGTTCTGCGGTTTTCTTTCCTTTTCCATTATATATAATTTTTTTTGAGGGGGAGAGCTTCGAAGTTGCAGGGGGTTGGGGCCTACCCGCTGTAGGCCTACTCTCAGCTTAGCCCCACTCCTGTAATCTCTATACATCTGTCATCAACAAGTTATTCGACTTGTACAAGTAACCACAATAATTGTGTACGGTCAGTAGTGATAGGGGATTCGAAAACTAATAGGCCCTATCTACTTTCATAGATTGAGTGGAAACTTTGAAATGAACGGGGCGCCGTGAAATATGGAGCGTTCGGAGGGGTCCAGGCATCATCCGGAACGACTCGCGGCGCTTTTTCGTGATTTTGAGTCCGCCGAGGTGAACTCTTGGCGATACGAAGAAAAAAAAGACGTGGCAAGGTTTGTCATTGAATACAAGCTAGATAGCAAGCGGGACCCCTTGACTCACTCGACACAAGATAACGCTACGGAAACGTCCGAAATATTTGCTCAGTCTGGTTGCCATGACAATGACCCCGCTGATCTCTCTACCCCGGTGACCCACTCGACGGAAGACAAAGCTACGGAAACGTCCGAAGTATTTACTCAGTCTGGTTTCCATGACAATGACCCTGCTGACCCCTCTACCCCATCAAATACCATAGAAAGCGGAGTTTCCTCTGTTGTCGGCAAGCAAGCCCGTGGAAAGCGA